GTGTGTGATCGAAACCCAGAGGCTTGCCCACTGGTTCACATTTATGACCGTTGCTGCTGCGTTCCCAAGATCACAGGATCCCCTTTGGCGATCCTGTGATTCCCAAGATCCTGATGAGCAAAGTCAATGGGGAAGCCAGATTCATCTTAACCGGGTTACCGGGGTTCTGAAAAAAAGTGATTTAGGGCTGTTTTTCACACTTAACGACCGTTGCAGCCTCCCCCCCCCCCCGGTCACGTGATCAAAATTCAGATGCTTGTCAACAGACTCACATTTATGACGGTTGCAGCGTCCGGGTCTTGTGGAAAACGAAAGAACTCTTACGAATTCCAGAGGGGTTTAGCAGAGAAATTTATTTGCGCAAGGGTCAGAGGCATATTAGAGATAGGCAATTCTGAACGAGGAGGGCGGGATTAGACTTCAGTTTTTATACTACCCTCCTTTCAGGAACAAAGGGACTACACGTGATAATACACTGTGATACATTTGGTTCGTTTCTCAGGGACGTACAATGGAAGGTTTTGCTACATACAAAGTATCCATGTGCAAAGCGCATTTGGTTAGCCACATATTACTGACACAGAACTTTCCCAGTGAATTTTCCCAGCGATTGTGCATTACATCATTATTCTAGCAATTATGCAGACACATCATTATTGCAGTTATGCAGACAAATCATTATTCTAATAATTGTTCATTTTACTACATTACCGGGGTCATGGGATCAACTTTTGCGACCTTCTGATAAGCAAAGTCAATGGAGAAGTCACAGATTCATCTTAAGAACCCGTGTCGCTAATCAACCACAGTGATTCGTTTAAGTACTGGGGCGAGGAAGGTCGTAAAATGGGGCAAAACTCACTTAACAAAGGTCTTGCTTAACAACAGAAATGTTGGCCTCGATTGTGGGTCGTAAGTCGAGGACTACCTAGAGTGCCTTGAACAGCCTCAGGACAGGCAGCAGTTCCACAGGCGGTCCTTTTCCGGGGGAAAAGGCCTCTGAGGGGATGGTTCAGCCTCTGCCTGAAATTGAGTATTCTTTCTGCATTTTCCGTGCCTGGAGTTCCTGGGGTGAGATGGGCACAGGTTTGCTCACTTAAATAAGTAAATAAATAAAAGCATTAATAAATACAGGTAGTCCTCAGCTTACAGCAGTTTATTTAGCGACCGAACTTACAACAGCACTGAAAAAAGTGACCTATGACCATTTTTCATGTTTACGACCGTTGCAGCATCCCCAGGGTCATGTGATTTACATTCAGATGCTTGACAACTGACTCATATTTATCACATGATCGCCTTTTGCAAAGTCAAGGGGGAAAACAGATTCACTTAACAACCATGTTACTAATTTTAACAACTGCCGTGATTCACTTAACAAACGTGAGGAAAGTCGTAAAATGGAGCAAAGCTCACTTAAAAAACTTCTCACGTAGCAACATAAATTTTGGGCTCATGTTGAGGTCTACTTGTATATTTGTTCTTTTGTCTACTTGTATATTTGTATATTTTGCAGAGGTGATTTGATTGAAGCTTCCTGCCTCAGTTGTGCAAAGATTTGACCCAGGACTTTCTCAGTCAAGGGTGAGTCTTAACAGCCTCCCTTCCTTTTCTTGGACCCATATAGAGACCCCCCCCCCAAAAAAATAGCCATTGAATGGCATGATTGAAAAGTTATTTTTTTTAAAACCTATTTTTAAAAGAATTCCCTTTTTCTTCCTTCGCGTCTTTAAAAAAAAGGTGGTAATATCTGAACAGAAAATGACAGGAATATTTTGTGTTACCTCTTGAAAACCCTTTTATGATTTGGACACATAATGTGATCTGAAAGTCTTAATTCTGAATTTGGAAGGGTCCAATCGGCCGTGAAAGCGATGAGTCAGCCAAGACCTGCTGGGACAGATCGGGAGCCCGAAGGAACGGGAAAAACCTCCCGTGCGGTTCATCGCCAGCGTAAGAAGGAGCGCCTGGGATGGGGAGCGTCACCAAATTGCCGGAGGGAAACTTGTCACGGGATGCAGGAGCGCTGGGAAGGCCAGCTCCAGCAGTTCCTGAAATCTCTGCAGCCCATTTTAGCGGGACGGGGAAGCTCTGGGACGTCCGAGGCTTCTCCTTGGGAGGACACCAAGGAATTCCTGGCCTCCTTTGAGCAAGTGGCCAAAGCTTGCCGATGGCCTCGGGACCAGTGGGCGGCCCATCTCCTGCCAGCCCTGAGCGGAGAAGCGGAAGAGGCCTTCCGAGGTCTGGAAGCCAGAGACCAGGAAAACTATGAGAAAGTGAAGGCCGCCATCTTACGGGGGGAAGCCCTGAGAACGGAGAGGCAGCGGCAGCACTTTCGACAGTTCTGCTGCCAGGAGATGGAAGACCCCCGGAGGATCCACAGCCAGCTCCAGGAGCTTTGCCGCCAGTGGTTGAGGCCGGAGAGACGCACCAAGGAGCAGATCCTGGAGCTGCTGATCCTGGAGCAGTTCCTGGCCAGCCTCCCACCGGAGCTGCGGAGTTGGATCCAAGCCAGGAGGCCGGAATCGTGTCCCCAGGCGGTGGCCCTGGTGGAGGACTTCCTGATGAGTCAACAGGAGGCCAAGAGCAGGACACCTCAGGTAGGTTTTACTATCCAGATCCCAAAGTTTATTTATTTAGCCAGTGGGTTGCAGTAATTAAGGTGCTGGCCTAGTACAGGGGGTCCCCAACCTGTGGGGACTTTGTTGGCTTTTTTTGGCAGCTGCAGCACACTGCTGGCTCATATCTAAGTGATTGTCCACTAGGACAGGGCTTTTCAACCTTTTCACCCATTGTACCACTTTTAGGATATGGCAACATCCGAGTACCACCAGGCGCCTAGCAAGGTGTCAAAAACTTGATGACCCATTAAAAAAAAAGAAAAAAGCGATGTACAGGTAGCCCTCAACTTACAACAGTTCGCTTAGTGACTGTTCGAAGTTACAATGGCACTGAAAAATGTGCCCCCCAAGCCACAGCCGAGCAAGACATCTGCCTGCCCACCTGGCAGCGCTCTTCCTCCTGTCCGAGGTTTTCATTGTTGTGAGCATTTTTGTTGAGGATTGGCAGCGGGGATGGGGTGGGGGGTGTTTGGTTTTTATTCCCCCCATCTGCTGGGTGGTTGTAGCAGGTTTTGGTCACTTCACATGACCCTGGGACACTGAGACCGTCATAAATATGAAATCAGTTGCCAAGCATCTGAATGTAAATCACAAGACCCTGGAGATGCTGCAACATTCCAGCTGATTGGCGTTTCTTCTGGGCTCAGCAGAAGTGCCAGGATCAGCGCCGAGCTCCAGCTGGAGCCGGACGCTGATCCTGGCGCTTCCGCTGAGCCCTGACAGCCCTGCTGCTCCAGCCATCTCTCGCTCAGGCTTGTGCGGTGCTGCCACCGGTTCAGCTCATTCCCCTCCCCCACTACCACTTTTCTAGGATGGTCGCGTACCACCTGCCAGGTGCCAATGTACCACAGGTGGTACCCGTACCACTGGTTGAAAAGCCCTGGACTAGGACTCCGAGATCCCTCTCACAGTTGCACAGAACTGGTATTGAATCACCCTCCATTATTAATTGAAAATCAATTTACAGTGATGAAATGCAACTTGTCCTTTTTAAGGACAATGCATTCACAGGGATCACAAGACTCTCGATTTCTAGGACTGCTTTAGTACATGAAAGGGATTGGGGTGACTTTGGGCCAGTCCCCCTTTCTCGTAGCCCTCCCAACCTCACAGGGTTGTTATTAATGGGGAAAATGGGAGGCAGGAGCGTTAGGTGGATTCACAGCCTTGAGTTCATGCAAAAAAACCTGATAAAATGTAATCTCCAACTCTACAACAACGTTGCGGATTACCATTAACAGTCGTAAATTGTATTTATATGTTTAAACTGTTAATTGTTACAAAGAGATGATTACTTATTGGAATGTGTTGACCCTTTAATTTCTGTCCCAAGATTTAGATCTGGTAGAGCAGGGGTCTTCAAACTTGGTCCTTTTATGACTTGTTGACTTCAACTGGCTGAGGAATTCTGGGAGTTGAAGTCCACAAGTCATAAAAGGGCCAGGTTTGACGACCCCCTGGTCAAGGCCTTAAGTTGACACATAATTAATGTTGGCTTGTTGACAAATGAGGTCACAAACCAGATATTTTTGCTTTATAGATACATTATATCAGGGGTCTTCAAACTTGGCCCTTTTATGACTTGTGGACTTCAACTCCCAGAATTCCTGAGGCAGCCTGGCTCAGCTTGGAAACCTCTCCCTTTCCCCTCAGCATGGCTGGCTCAGGAATTCTGGGAGTTGAAGTCCACGAGTAAATAAAAGAGCCAAAGTTGCCTAGCCCTGCCCTGGGGTAAGAGGTAGTATTTTTTTTTTCCATTGAAATGATTCATATGGCTGCCCATCTCTCAGCAATGACTCCAGGTGGTGTACCAGAACCAACAGCAAGAAAAATCAGCAATCCAAATACAATAGCACATGTCTGAAAGAAACCATTCCAATTATAGGAAAAACAACAACAACAAAAACCACAATTAACTAGAAGAGTTTGCTCCATGGCCCCGGCACTGGGGGCGGGTGGGAACAGCCTGGTCCTTCAAGCCTACCAAGCAAGGCCATCTGAGCAGTGTTTCTCAACCTTGGCAGCTTTAAGATGTGTGGTCTTCAACTCCCAGAAATACTGCCAAGTCCAGCTGGGGAAGTCTGGGAGTTGAAATCCAGATGTCTTAAAAGTTGCCAAGTTTGGAAGAAAAAAAAAACTACTCTAGAGAGATGCTGTTTCACAAAGCAGACACCCAGGTCAGCGAAGGCATGTCGTTCTTCCCGTCTATATTAGTTTTTTCCATTTTTCATATCGAGATTAAGATGGCTATATTTCCCAACTATGTTGACTGCCTTATTCTTTTTTGACTTTTCTTCCCTCTACTTTTTTTTAAATATTTTGCCGCTTTTTAAAAATCCTAACATATAAACACCCGGAGTTACTGTGCATTTGACACAGCATACAAACTGATCATGAAGTAAAAAACATTTATAATGTTCTTTGTACCGTTTCCCCAATTTGTGAGGAAACGAATCAGCTAATGCCATTTCTTTCCCAAAGTAACCTTGATTACAATCATCTCTCTAGCAGTTCTCCGGTATATCTACGGTAATTCCTTGAAGGAACTTGTTGACTTAACTTCTGCAATGTAGGTTAAAGGCTGAATTTTGAGCACAGCTGTTGGCATAGAATCAAGATCACACGAAGTAATATTACCGCTTTATAAAGCCCTTATTAAGACCACACCTGGAATACTGCAGCCAGTTTTGGTCACCATATCACAAAAAAGATGTTGAGAGTTTGGAGAAAATTCAGAGAAGAGCAACTAAGATGATCAAAGGCCTGGAGACCAAAACATACAAAGAACGGCTGCGGGACTTGGGTTTGGCTAGTCTAAAGAAAAGAAGAAATAGGGGAGACATGATAGCAGTGTTCCAGTATCTGAGGGGCTGCCACAAGGCAGAGGGGGCCAGGTTGTTCACCAAAGCACCAGAGGGAAGGACGAGAAACAATGGTTGGAAACTGATCAAAGAGAGAAACAACCTGGAATTGAGGAGAAACTTCCTGATAGTAAGGACTATCAACCAGTGGAACAGCTTGCCTTCAGAAATCGTGGGTGCTCCATCACTGGAGATTTTAAAGAGTAGACTGGACATTCACCTATCTGAAATGGTATAGGTTCTCCTGCTTGAGCTGGAGACTGGACTAGGACCTCCAAGGTCCCTTCCAACTTCTATTCTACTCTACTCTACTGTCATGTGTCTGACTAATGAAACACTTCAAAGAACTTTCAGGCATTTTTTAACCTAGAAAGCCTTTATTAGTGTAAAGGAGTGTCAGCACGGCATGGAGAATGGCAAGATCTGAATTTCCCTTCCTTTGCACATAACATTCCAGGCATTTCCCCTCCCCTATTTTGGGGTCATGATTCACATCTTCCAATTAACCTGGAGGGCAAAGATTCACTTCCCTTCCGCATGCTTTTCTCTCCTCTCTCATTCTCATCTGAATTAACTCTAAAAGTACCAGACAGTTCTGCATATTTTGTCAAAGCAAGAATATTCAATATTAGCAGCATTGACATCTACTCTACTCTACTCTATTCTACTCTACTCTACTCTCTAATCTACTCTCTATTCTACTTTATTCTACTCTACTCTATTCTATTCTACTCTATTCTATTCTCTATTCTCTATTTTACTCTACTCTATTCTATTCTACTCTATTCTCTATTCTACTCTACTCTATTGTATTCTATTCTCTATTCTATTTATTCTATCTATTCTCTATTCTCCTCTATTCTCTATATTCTATTCTATTCTATTCTATTCTATTCTATTCTATTCTATTCTATTCTATTCTATTCTATTCTCTATTCCCGTGGTGGCGAACCTATGGCACGGGTGCCAGAGGCGGCACGCAGAGCCCTCTCTGAGGGCACGCGCGCCATCATCCCAGTCCTAGGCCTTCAGCTGGGTTTTATAAAACCTTTTCGCTTTAGGCCTCCGCCGCCATGTGCAAAAAAAAAATCAATTTCAACTTCTCGTGGGGAAAAAAAAGATCTCGCAAAGTTGGAATTGATTGATTGAACTTTTTAGTCCCACCCAGTCTGCCGTTACCACCCCAGCCACGCCCACCCAATTGGCCACACCCACCGAATGGGCCACGCCCCCGGCACCCGATAATACATAAGTGGGTTTTGGCTTGCAGTTTGGGCACTCGGTCTCTAAAAGGTTCGCCATCACTGCTCTATTCTCTATATTCTATTCTATTTTCTATTCTATTCTATTCCATTCTATTATATCATTCCAAAGCACAGGGGCTGAGATCTTTTATCCTAATCCACATATGTATAACTCCAGGCCAAGGGCAATATTTTTTAAAAATTTATTTTTATTTATTTATTAAATTTATATCCAGGGGTGGTGAGTCTGCCGCAGATCACAACGAAATTTCTAAGAATGTGCTAATGCTGGGGTTGGCCACTCTACTAATTTTAGCTAACTGATCCTGGAAGAATCTCAAGAAAACAAGGAACTTTGCCATAGTGATGAAAATATCTGTAGCTCGGGTGTAGGATGAGGCTGGAGGTTCGTTCTCCGCGCTTGTGGGGATTGGTTTCCAAACGTTTTGTTACCAGGCTAGGTAACATCTTCCAGCGGAGTTTAGGCGGTGTCAAAAGAGCACTGACATCCCCTAAACACGGCTGAACATGTGACCTAGCCTGGCAAAGACATGTTCAGAAACCAACCCGCAAGCTGAAAAAAAACGAACCTTCCCCCTCAAACAACAAACCGCCGGGGGCTCTCTTTTTTAGGTAGAAAAATCAGAATAAATAATGTTTTACCTTCCTAGCCTCTTTTTCCCATTTTGAGATTATATTTCTTGCTTCAGGGGCGTTTAAAGGAAAAACCCGTGGATTTCCTTGTTGCAGAGAAAGAGCCCTCGAATGCCGTGAACGGACCCGTCTACGGTGAAACTGATCTAACTGTGGATGGCAATTTGCTGGGTGAGAATTCCTGGAACATTTACGTTTTCTTCTCCATTTCCTTTTGTGGGGTTTTGTTTTGCTTTGTTTGGCTGTGTAGTGGGGAGGGGGGGGAGCTTCCTTCGACCTCGTCAGCCTGGTGGAGGAGATAATTTGGGAAACGTAGCTTGATGGTCAAGGATCAGGGAAGCTACCCCAACTGACCCCAAAAGTGCTTTTTCACGAGGCAACTGGACTTTCTTGTTTTTCTTTGAAGACGTTTCGCTTCTCCTCCAAGAAGCTTCTTCAGCTTCTTGGATGAGAAGCAAAACGCCTTCAAAGAAAAACAAGGAAGTCCTTTATAAGAAGAGCAACAAAGATGGTCAGGGGACTGGAGTCTAAAACATACAAGGAATGGTTGCTGGAATTGGGTGTGTCTAGTTTAATGAAGAGAAGGACGAGGGGGGACATGATAGCAGTGTTCCAATATCTCAGAGGCTGCCCCAAAGAAGAGGGAGTCAAGCTATTCTCCAAAGCGCCTGAAGGCAGGACAAGAAGCAAAGGATGGAAACTAACCAAGGAGAGAAGCAACCTAGAACTAAGGAGAAACTTCCTGACAGTTAGAACAATTAACCAGTGGAACAACCTGCCTCCAGAAGCGGTGAATGCTCCAACACTGGAAGTTTTTAAGGAGAGACTGGATAGCCATTTGTCTGAAATGGTATAGGGTTTCCTGCCTGAGCAGGGTGTTGGACTAGACGACCTCCAAGGTCCCCCCTCCTCCTCCTCCTCCTCCTCCTCCTCCTCCTCCTCCTCCTTCTTTTTCTTCTTCTTCTTCTTCTTCTTCTTCTTCTTCTTCTTCTTCTTCTTCTTCTTCTTATTATTATTATTATTATTATTATTATTATTATTATTATTATTATTATTATTATTATTATTATTATTATTATATCGGAAATAGTAGACATCAAGAGAAAAAAAGAGGAAGTATTAAATGTTGAAAGAAGAGAAATTTTGGTTATTAAATTGAAGACATTTGGAAATTAACAGAAAATAAGAATGTTCTACTCACTGTATTATTAATTAGTTAATGCAAGATGGTAAGAAATAGAATCTATTCAAATAGATAAGACATGTCTCCTGAACATTAGATTTTGCAGTGAATTGTGATAAAGGGAACTGTGGTTATTTAAAACTTGGAAATTATAAATACTAAACGTCAAATTTAAATATTAATGGGAAACTAAAAATTGGGAAAAACTAATCAGGACATTGATTGTCTCTAAAGATTGGATGTTAAAATAACTAGGGTATGTACAAACTAAAAATTATTGATAAACGTAAGAAAATTATTTTTATTTAATCGATGTAATAAGAATTATTAGTTTAAATATGAGACGGTAAATACTAAGGGGAAAAGAGAGGAAATATTTAATGTAGTCATTTGAGATTTGTACTAAAGATACTTGTACTAAAGTTAACTATCGATTAAGTCAGCTGCCACGTTGCTTTTTAAATATTTAAATGTAAAACCAGAAAATCAATAAAATTTTCTTTAAAAAAGAAAAACAAGAAAGTCCAATTGCCTCATGAAAAGCACTTTTGGGATCACTATGACCTGGATGACTGAAAATCTCCATAAACATCTACCCCAACTGAGTTCTGGAAGAACCAAATGCATATATATATATATGCTATTATTGCGTCTGTGTAAAACTCTGGTTTTGGTATATCTTAACCACATAACCACCTTTGTATCTCTGTAAAGGAGATGGGCGGTTTCTAAACTTGATAAATAAATACAAAATCTAAGCGTGTCTTTATGACCAGAATCTTTGCGATCATCATCTTCCTCAACAAGGCCTAGCAAAAGCTGTTAACCAAAAGCCTCCTTAGAAATCGGAGAGGCAGAATTTTCCTGTTTTGAAATTCCCTACTGAATTCTTGTACGTTCTTTCTAGGCAGTGGACCAAAATACTCAAGTGTCTCCCCTTTGCCATTTCCTCCTGAAGGAGAAGAAGCGGGCCAGACTGGTGGGAAAGAGGTAGGGGTCATTTTACGTTTAGGGTGTACGTGGATGGTTTAATCAGGGCTACCGGTTAAAGAGAAACAACACATTTTAAAGAAAATCTGCAGCTTTTGCTTTGCCACAGGTTCTTCTGCAGAATCTGATAGGACAGACATGTCAAACACAAGGCCCGGGGGCCGGATGCGGCCCGCAAAGTGGTTTCATGTGGCCCGCGAAGCCATCCTGGAAACAGTGAGGGAACGGCCCCCACTGCCTTGGCCTTGGCCAATGTACAATTTTGTGGTGGCCATCTATGCCAGTGGTTCTCAACCTTTTTAATGCCGCGACCCCCAACCGATCGTAAGTCGAGGACTAAACCGGTCATAAGTCGAGGACTAAACCGGTCGTAAGTCAAGGACTACCCAACCGGTCGTAAGTCGAGGACTTTCCCTGCCCTGGAGCGCCGCACATGCGTGGTTCCGCCCCCTGCGCCGGCCGAGGCGTAGCTGGCAAACGGCAGAGACGGAGCAGGCCGACCTCCAGCTAGCCCAGCCCAAGGGAGGTAAGGCACCCGCCGGAAAAGGGGAAAAAAATGGCGGACAGCTTTGCTTGGCGACCCCCGTGAAATGGTTGATCGACCCCAAATGGGGTCACGACCCATAGGTTGAGAACCACTGATCTATGCTGAAATGCATTCAGTCTTAGCTCCACAAGGCTGTCTGGAAACAGCGAGGGACCAGCCCCTGCCACAGCGAGGGACCAGCCCCTGCCCCTGTGTGCATGCTGGGGAGGTGTCATCCTTTGTGAGGAATGAAGAAATGCACCATCGCCTGGAAGTGGCCAGCAAATGGCCCTCGCCTACTTCACATATCTGACTTGATGGGCTCTGCCCTGGTCCCACCCCTTCTGCCAGAGACCCTCAGATCTGTCCCACTCCTGCCCAGGCCCCCACAGGCACCCTCGACGCGAATGATGTAGAGCTGGCCACACCCACCCCATAGGCCACACCCACCCAGAAGGCCGCACCCACCCAGCCCCCCCCCCCGAGGGCAACCACAATGCTGATGTGGCCCTCAATGAAATTGAGTTTGACATCCCTGTGATAGGAGAAGAGAGAAGATAGAAGATAGATAAGATAACCTTTATTGTCATTTTTTTTTACTGTGGGCACAACGGCACACATCAAAAGTGAAATTTAGCTGCCCGCTCCCAAAGTGAAACACATACACGACACAGACCTAAAACATACTATGTACAACCTATGTCTAGACCCACACCCCTACATATACATAGCAAATAAATATTAAACACTGTCCATCTTGAATAAATAACGCAGACATGTCAAACACACGGCCCGGGGGCCGGATGCGGCCCGCGAAGTGGTTTCATGTGGCCCGCGAAGCCATCCTGGAAACAGTGAGGGAACGGCCCCCGCTGCCTTGGCCCTGGCCCAGGCCGGCCGAGAGCCAATGTACAATTTTGTGGTGGCCATCTATGCTGAAACACATTCAGTCTTAGCTCCACAAGGCTGTCCGGAAACAGCGAGGAACCAGCCCCTGCTGTGTCGGCCCCGCCCCCTGGGTGCATGCTGGGGAGGTGTCACCCTTTGTGAGGAATGAAGAAATGGACCATGCCTTGGCGCTTGCCCTGGTCCCACCCCCTTCTGCCGGAGACCCTCAGATCTGTCCCACTCCTGCCCAGGCCCCCACAGGCACCCTTGATGTGAATGATGTAGAGCTGGCCATGCCCACCCAGTAGGCCACACCCACTCCGCACCCACCCTGGCCACACACCCCTGCCCCTCCCCCCCCGAGGGCAACCGCAATGCTGATGCGGCCCTCAATGAAATTGAGTTTGACACCCCTGAATAACGGAAGGAGGAAGCTTGAGAGTTCACAAGGTTAATGCTGTATGGAATGAAACTATGGCTGAATCTGGATGTTCTGCTACGGATACCGCAAAGCCCCCTCCTCCCAGAAGGTAACAAGGAGAACAGGTCGTGAAGAGGACGTGTAGTGTCCCAGACAATCTTGCGGACCCTGCTCAAGCAACGCTTCAGAGGGAACTGCCAATAATCTTTTCAGCCATCCTCACCACTCTCTGCACCGCCTTCCTGTCTGAAGCAGGGATGCTTCCAAACCAGACCGTGATGCTGTACGACAGGATGCTCTCGATTGTCCCCCTGTAGAAAGTGGTCAGGAAAGGAGAAGGAAGATGTGCTTTTCCTACATTTTCTGCGTCGCATAAGAAAAGCACATCTTCCTTTCCCCTGTCCTTACCACTTTCTACAGAGGGACGATCGAGAGCATCCTCTTCATAACAGCGTCACAGTCTGGTTTGGAAGCTTTTCTCATGCGACGCAGGAAATACAGGCGCTGCTGTGCCCGCTTCACCGGTTTCTCACTGTTGAGCGACCAAGCCAGCCGTTAGTTTTTTTATTTTATTTTATGTGCAACGGATCTCAAGGAGAAGTTAACTATTCCCAGAACATTCACTGAAGGGATATTGAGTTCTCTTTCTCTTTGCAGGGATCCAAGGACCTCAAGGAAACTGGAGGGTCTTTGCAGATCGTAAAGCAGAACGTGACCCAGCCAGGCCAGCAGACTATGCTGTGGCAGGTCCTGCAGGAGGAGGAGGAGGAGGAGGAGGATGCAAATGCAGATATTTTGGGTGAGGAAGTCGTCTTCCGGGCTCCAGAAAGACCAAGTTCATCCAAGCTGCTGTTTTTAGAATGGAAAGAGTTCCTCGAAATTTACTTTGTAGTGAGAACGTTAGAACAGGCAAGATCCAACAGCAAAGGCCCTGAGGAGACCAAACTAATCTGTTATAGTAACACTGAGAGGTGGCAGCTGCTCTTCACACCACAAAACAAATGCCTCCCCCCCCCCTCCTCCAGTCTGTCAAAACATAGATGGGAGAAAAAGATTGTTTGCAGGTTGCGGTTTCTGGTTTTCTTCCTTCCTACGAATTGTCTTTCTAATGTCTGGGTGTGTTACCTTATCAAGAAAGTGAATCTAGTCAGGCTGCCCGCCTTGTTCCATTACAGATAATCATCATCATCATCATCATCATAAAGTTGGAAGGGACCTTGGAGGTCATCTAGTCCAACCCCCTGCACAGGCAGGAAACCCTACACCATTTCAGACAAATGGCTGTCCAGTCTCTTCTTAAAAACTTCCAGTATTGGAACATTCACCGCTTCTGGAGGCAGGTTGTTGCTCTGGTTGATTGTCCTCACTGTCAGGAAGTTTCTCCTTAATTCCAGGTTGCTTCTCTCTTTGATCAGTTTCCAACCATTGTTTCTTGTCCTTCCCTCTGGTGCTTTGGTGAATAATATGACCCCCTCTTCTTGGTGGCAGCCCTGCAAATACTGGAACACTGCTATCATGTCTCCCCTGTTTCTTCTTTTCTTTAGTCTAGCCAAACCCAAGTCCCGCAGCCGTTTTTCGTATGTTTTAGCCTCCAGGCCTTTGATCATCTTAGTTGCTCTTCTCTGAATTTTTTCCAAACGTTCGACATCTTTTTTGTGATACGGTGACCAAAACTGGCTGCAGTATTCCAGGTGTGGTCTTACTAGCATTTTATAAAGCGGTACTAATACTTCGCATAATCTTGATTCTATGCCTCTGTTTATACAACCCATTATATTAGCTTTTTTGGCTGCTGCTGCTGCTGCACACTGCTGGCTCATGGTTGTCCACTAGGACTCCAAGGTCCCTCTCACAGTTACTGTTTTTGAGCCAGGTCTTGCCCAATCTGTACTTGTACTTTTGATTTTTCCTGCCTAAATGTAAGACTTTGCTTTTCTCCACACTGAAACTCATTTGTTCAAGTGAGACAGACGTGAGAGAGAAGTTCTACCTTGGCGTCCAGGTCTCCTTTGCTTATTGTTATGGTGTGATTTTGTGCTTTGAGGAATGTCATCCAGTTCAGAGAGTGGCAATGCCTCCTCCAGATTTTCGGAATGTTTCCGGAAGACATAGGAGTTTAGGAAATGTACACTTTGGTGTTCAAACTTTTGTATAGTAACGGAAAAGGTTGGACAGTCCCTCATGCATATGATGGGAAAGTTTAGTTGTTGTAGGAGAAGGCGTGGCAGACCGCTGGGGGTGGAGTCAAAAGAGGAATCAGCTTAGAGTCTGTACGTAGCCACAAGTGACTAAATCCAAGCCCTCTTGAATTCCGTTCACCCTATCTAACCCCAAGATAGTGCTAACCGTTAGTTGAGTAGATTCCTGTGCATAGGCATGATTAGTAATAAATCGGTTTAATCAGAATTACCGGCCCTTCACACCTGACAGTTCTCTTATTATTGATGGCTTAGAGCAGGGGTAGGCAACCCAAAACACTCAAAGAGCCACTTGGACCCGTTTCCCACCGAAAACAAAACACTGGGAGCCACAAAACCCTTTTGATATCTAATATGAAGATAACACTGCATACATCCTTTTTTACCTTTATTATTCATTTTAGATGTCAAAAGGGTTTCTCTCTCTGTCTCTCCCTCCCTCCATCTCTCTCCCTCCCTCCCTCTCTCTCTTTCTGCCCTTGGTCTGCCAGTCCTCTTTCCCCCCCCTCTCTTTCTCTCTTTCTCTCTTTCCTCTCTCTCTTTCTCTCCCTCTCTCTTTCTCTCTCCCCCTCTCTCCCTCTCTCCGATCTTCTGCTCATCTGGCAAGCTGGCTTCAAGCTGTTCTCCAACAAGCTCAGGGGTAGGTAACCTCGGCTCTTTTATGACTCACGGACTTCAACTCCCAGAATTCCTGAACCAGCATAGCTGGGCTAGCTTCCTGCAGAGACGCAGCAAAGGGAGGAGCCCCGCCCCAAAAGCTTTTCAGCTTGTCGGAGAACACTGTGAGTCCACTCTCTTTTACACACACACACACACACACACACAGAGAGAGAGAGAGAGAGAGAGAGAGAGAGAGAGAGAGAGAGAGAGAGAGAGAGAGGCAAATGGCAGAGGAGGCTGGGAGCCGCAGGTTGCCGACCTGTGGCTTAGAGCTTCTCCTTGACTCCTATAGAGTGATTATTGTGCATGGTCAATGGATGTCTGGATCAGAAGGCTCCACTGTTTCTCCTTGCCCAAGGATGGCTGCTCCTTCGCCCACCGTTTTTTCCCCATCTCCACTGTATCCCTAACTCCAGCTTTGAGGAACTCAGAGGGTGAGAGCTATCATCTTTGCAAGTTTCTTCCACAAATAAATCAGAGGCCAGGGTGGTGCAGCGGTTAGAATGCAGTACCCGGCTACTTCTGCTGGCTGAAGGTTGCCAGCCGTTCAGGTCTCACCGGGTCAAGGTTGACTCAGCCATCCATCCTTCTGAGGTTGGTAAAATGAGGACCCAGATTTTTTTGGGGGGGGGGCAATATGCTGACTCTGTAAACCGCTTAGAGAGGGCTGTAAAGCAGAGGTCCCCAACCTTTTGGGCACCGGGGACCGGTTCTGTGGAGAGAGGTTTTTCTGCAGACCGGAGGGAGTGTGGTTTCATGTACTGCCTGCATCCCACGGATGGGGCTTTGCTTGTTTGCACGGACCGGTTTCTGGCATGCCACGGACCGGGACCGGTCCACGGACTGGGCGTCGGGGACCCTTGCTGTAAAGCACTGTGAAGCGGTATATATATAAGTCTGAGTGCTATTGCTATGATGCAAAGAGTGTCTGGTTGTCCACTCTCCTCTCCCTGGGCTCAAGCACGTGGCTCCCGTCATCCGGTAGAGCAGTGGTTCTCAACCTTTTTAATGCCGCGACCCCCAATCGGTCGTAAGTCAAGGACTAAACCGGTCGTAAGTCGAGGACTAAACCGGTCGTAAGTCGAGGACTACCCAACCGGTCGTAAGTCAAGGACTTTCCCTGCCCGGGAGCGCCGCGCATGCGTGGTTCCGCCCCCTGCGCCGGCTGAGGCGTAGCTGGCAAGCGGCAGAGATGGAGCAGGCTGACCACCAGCTGGCCCAGCTCAAGGGAGGTAAGGCACCCACCGGAAAAGGGAAAAAAATGGCGGACAGCCTTGCTTGGCGACCCCTGTGAAATGGTCGATCAACCCCAAATGGGGTTGCGACCTATAGGTTGAGAACCGCGGTAGAGCATTTGGTCTGGCCAAGAGCTGGTCCATGGAGGTTTGATGGGAACCTCGGCATCGGCCAAATGCCTTCAGGTGCTGTGCTCTTGACCGAGGAGCTGAGGGGGGGATGGAGCTGTCGGAAGAGACGTGGGATCAATCATCGCAGGCCCAGGGATCGTCCAGTTTTCTTCCTTGGGGCGGATTCCTCTGTCCTCGTTTGGAAAGGCCATGTTGTTCTCGGCGCCAGGGAGGCTGTTGCAGGAGCACCATATGTTTCTCAGATCAAGCTGTTTTCGCCTCGGTACATCAAGTAATCGTTAATGGTGCCACGTTCCTCTTTCTCGGCGGGAGCTGCGGAGTCATTCGGGACTCTTTCCTGCCTCAGAAGCAGGGAGAATTGAGCCATTTGGTGGAGAAAAATCAAGACATCCCAGAATTCTTCATCCATACGGTTGTTGGGCTGTCTTCCAAGTTTGGCAATTTGACTGCAAACGTTTCGTCTCCGTTCGGGGCGGTGGGGGGGGGACACACACGTCTTCAGCGCAGCTTTGAATTGTGCCTTTTCAATACCTTTTTGTGTGAGGTAAATTGGTGGTGGGTGTTATTCCTCCGGATGTTGCTGAGTCATGGTCTGGTTTCGGGCTGTTTGATTGGCCAGTTGTTGTTGCTGGAGGATATAGTCCAGGGGTAGGCCACCTCGGCTCTTTTATGACTCGTGGACTTCAACTCCCAGAATTCCTGAGCCAGCATGGCTCAGCTTGGAAACCTCTCCCTTTCCCCTCAGCATGGCTGGCTGAGGAATTCTGGGAGTTGAAGTCCACGAGTCATAAAAGAGCCGAGGTTGTCTACCCCTGGCTTAGACCTTCAAATAATAATAGTAACAGTAATAGACTTGGCATCCCAGGAATTAGAGAAGTTCATTTCTCTCCATCTTGTTATTGAAATCTCAATACTTCTTGCATTGTGTGAACTCCCAGAATTCCTGAGCCAGGCTGGCTCAGCTTGGAAACCTCTCTCTTTCCCCTCAGCATGGCTGGCTCAGGAATTCTGGGAGTTGAAGTCCACCAGTCACAAAAGGGCCAAGTTTGAAGACCCCTGTCCTAGCTTAACAATAACAACTGGGTCTGCCAGAATTGCTGTTGCTAAGCAGTGCAGTCAGGTGACTTTTGCATCACTTAGCAACAGGCAATTCCTGTCCCAATTGCTGTGGTATGCCCTAGATAGCTGGGCTTTTTTTTTTAAAAAAAATACAACATTGAAAGGGGCAAAAAGTAGGAATTGAACCCACAGCTCCATTAGGGGACTCCCAGAGGATGAGAAATAGCAGCTACCCTTCAGGGAACGTGATCAGTATTTAAACTGGATGGAGACAAATTCTGAACTGATAGGGGTAGGCCACCTTGGCTCTTTTATGACTCGTGGACTTCAACTCCCAGAATTCCTCAGCCAGCACGGCTCAGCTTGGAAACCTCTCCCTTTCCCCCTCAGCATGGCTGGCTCAGGAATTCTGGGAGTTGAAGTCCACGAGTCATAAAAGGGCCAAGGTTGCCCACCCCGATAGTCCTTGGTGTTTAAATATTGTCTGTATGATGCAAATGGTTTGTTTGTTTGTT